CAGGGGGTTGGACTGGGTGACCCACAGAGGTCCCTGCCAACCCCTAACATTCTGTGATTCTAATTTAATTGTACAGAAATACTTAGTTAATTGTACACAGAACCAGCAATCACTTTTTATTACTTGTGTATTTATCATAATACTTCCTTTCATAGGCTAGTTAGATATGCAAGATACTTTCTATATTTTCCTATAAAAACCTAAGATATCTTTTAGAAGTCAGTTTTAACTTCCAGTGGAATTCCAAAGGAATGAACTTACCAAACTGAATGTGCATCTGCAGAGACTGCCCAGTACTGTCAAGAAGTGCCACTGACCCATCAACAACAATAATACTGCCATCTCTTGAGTTGCATGCATACAACTGCGGGTTAACGGAGACCTAAGAAGAAAAAGGTTGTTGTATATAACAACTGAAACACTTTAGAAAATATGACAGAGAAGCTCTGATAATTATTAAGAAAAAAAAGAACCCAGCTTTGATGAATTCTACCTTTTCTGAAGATGTGATTTGAAGCAACGTATCCACTTGGTACAATGCAGTTCCACATTCGTGTCCTAAACCTACAGGGAGCTGCTCACTGCCTGTGTCATCATTTGCAAGAAGTTCAATATCATTCCACATGCTTACCTATGATAAATATTAAAGGAACATGCTGTAAAGCAGAGAGCTTTAAAAAAGTTATATGGCCACACACAAATTACTGATTTTATTATTCTATTGCGATTCTGCGTCTAGGAGGAAGGGCAGTACAACAAGCTTCTTAAAGGCAAACTGCGTATTTAGAAAAGACAACGTTAAATCGCACACAAGAGCAATGTGGCTCCCAGCTGATGTCCCCGGCGGGCCCGACCGAACGCAGCCTGGCGAGCGCAGGTTTCGCGCCCGAAGCCGAACGAGATTCAGCACCAGAGAGCCCTCCCCACCACGCAACGGACACCCCCGTCCCCAAGGACCGCGACCCGTCCTCCACTCCCTCTCCTCACCACAGCCCCAGAAGCCGCTGACAAACCACTCCCCGCGC